TTATGTGGTCGATTTCAGAATCAGTGCTATGTGGTGCTGAGAAGAATGTATATTCTGTTGATTTCAGGTGGAGAGTTCTGTATATATCTATTAGGTCCACTTGGTCCAGAGCTGAGTTCAAGTCCTGAATATCTTTGTTAATTTTCTATCTCATTGATCTGTCTAATGTTGACAATAGGGTGTTAATGTCTCTCACTATTATTGAGTGGGTGTGTACGTCTCTTTGTAGGTCTCAAAGAACTTGTTTTATGAATCTGGGTGCTCCTATATTGGGTGGATATATATTTAGGATAGTTAGCTCTTCTTGTTGGATTGATCCCTTTACCATTATGTAATGCCCTTCTTTGTCCTTTTTCATCTTTGCTGGTTTAAATTTGTGTAAAGTCTGTTTTTTCAGAGACTAGGAATCTGCTTATTTTTTTTTTTTTTTTTTTTTTTTTTTTTTTTTTTTTGCTTTTGGTTTGGTTGGTCAACAATACTCCATTCCTTTATTTTGAGCTATGTGTGTCTTTGCACGTGAGATGGGTCTCCTGAATACAGCACAATGATGGGTCTTGACTCTTTATCCAATTGCCAGACTGTGTCTTTTAACTGGGGCATTTAGCCCATTCATATTTAAGGTTAATATTGTTATGTATGAATTTGATCCTGTCATCATGTTGCTAGCTGGTTATTTTGCACTTAAGTTGATGCAGTTTCTTCATAGTGTTGTTGGTCTTTATATTCTGGTGTGTTTTTGCAGTGACTGGTACCAGTTTTTCCTTTCCATATTTAGTGCTTCCTTCAGGAGCTCTTGTAAGGCAGGCCTGATGGTGACAGAATCCCTCAGCATTTGCTGTTCTGGAAAGGATTTTGTTTCTCCTTCCCTTATGAAGCTTAGTTTGGCTCAGTATGAAATTCTGGGTTGAAAATTCTTTTCTTTATGAATGTTGAACATTGGCCCCCACTCTCTTCTGGCTTGTAGGGTTTCTGCAGAAAGATCTGCTGTTAATCTGATGGGCTTCCATTTATAGGTAATCTGACCTTGGTCTCTGGCTGCCCTTAACATTTTTCCCTTTGTTTCAACCTTGGAGAATCTGATGATTATATGTCTTGGGGCTGCTCTTCTCGAGGAGTATCCTAGTGGTGTTCTCTGTATTTCCTGTATTTGAATGTTGGCCTGTCTTGCTAGGTTGGAGAAGTTCTCTTGGATACTACCCTGAAGTGTGTTTTCCAGTTTGCTTTCATTCTCCCCTTCACATTCAGGGACCCCAATCAATCGTAGGTTTGGTCTTTTCACATAGTCTCATATTTGTTTGGGGTTTAATGCATTCCTTTTCATTGTTTTTTCTCTAATCTTGTCTTCACGCCTTATTTCAGTAAGTTGATCTTCAATCTCTGATCTTCCGCTTCATCGATTCAGCTATTGATTCTTGTGTATGCTTCATGAAGATGTAGTCCTCTGTTTTTCTGCTCCCTCGGGTCATTTATGTTCTTCCCTAAAACGAGTTCTTCTAGTTAGCAGTTCCTGTAACCTTTTGTCAAGGTTCTTAGCTTCCTTGCATTGGGTTAGAACATGCTCCTTTAGCTCAGAGGAGTTTGTTATTATTCACATTCTGAAGCCTACTTCTGTCAGTTTGTCAAACTCATTCTTCATCCAGTTTTGTATCCTTGGAGGAGAGGAGTTGCAATCGTTTGGAGGGGAAGAGGCATTCTGGTTTTTGGAATTTTCAGGATTTTTGTGCTGGTTTTTCCTCATCTTCATGGATTTAGCTACCTTTGATCTTTAAGGCTGATGACCTTTGGATGTGGTTTCCATCTGGGAGTCCTTTTTGTTGATGTTGATGTTATTGCTTTCTGTTTGTTAGTTTTTCTTTTTATTATTATTATTATTATTATTATTATACTTTAAGTTCTAGGGTTCATGTGCATAACGTGCAGGTTTGTTACATATG